AGGAAGGAAGGAAGGAAGGAAGGAAAGAAAGAAAGAAAGAAAGAAAGAAAGAAAGAAAGAAAGAAAGAAAGAAAGAAAGAAAGAAAGAAAGAGAGTGAAAGAAGAGAAAGAAAGATCACTGTACAGTGCCTCGTTTGTCACTTGGAACTTGTGATTTCCACACAAAAATGTATCTCAAACTTCTAGATTTGCATCGCTGAGACATGCTGCTGCTGGTCCTGTTTACTGTGCTCTGGGCTGTGGCTCTGCAGAAGCCCTGCCAGAGTTAGATGCATGTGCCTTGCTGTGGACATGAGCTCATCTGTCATGTTTGCATTGAAAGCAGCGCCATGAATGAACATCACTGTGTGCACCTTGACCGAGCTCCCCGCAGCTCAGTTACAGGAGCGTGACTGGGCTAAAGAGGAGGCACTGGGGCTGTTTTTAAAATTTCTTGGCACATAATACACCACTGCTCTCCAGGAAAAAATTGCGCCAATGAAACTCCCCACCTCCAGCAGCCACCCACTCACACACCCTCACCAGTGCTGGGTTCTGTGAACTTGCAAACGCTTCTCAAAGAGTCACTTCATCAGTCATAAGAAATAAATGTTGTCCCTGCTGCTTAAAATATGGCTGCATGGGACAAAGTGCCTGGGAGGTACTGGCAACTCCCAAGCAGCTTCTAACACCTGTCAGTCACCTACACACTCGCTCTAACTTAATCCTACTACGAAAAGTGACTGTTCCCTATTTACAGGTGAGTAAGTAATGTTCAGAGACATTGAGTAACTTACCCAAGTTCGCACAGGTAGGAAGTGGCCAGCACCAGGTTCTGATCCCAGGTCTCTTTCTCACGGTTTCTTTCCACATGGCTTCAGGAGTCACGGAGCAATCTGGCCCTAACCCACATGTCACAGGCTCTTCTCCTGACCCAGATAAGCCCCTGTGCCTTAGCCACACAGAGCCCCTTGAGGGGCTCCATCCTGTGTTAGGGTGGGTACTGCTAGATGGTGGAATCAGAGATGATTTTTAATTATCTGTATATTTTACCACAGCAATATTTTATTTATTAATAGTGAAATAGGTTTTTTAAAAAAAATTTCAAAAACCCCATTCCAAGATTCTCTTGGAGAAAGAGTCCTTGGGAGAGTTTCCCAATGTCCTCCAAAAAGACACACTGTGACAAGCTGGGGTTGGTGGATCACAGACTGGATGGAGGCAGGAGAAAAGCACCTTAGAAACATCCTTTGACCTTCCAGGGCCTTGAGAGGAGCCCATGGCCAAGCTGGTTCCAGTCAATTCTCCACAACAGGCCACTGGCCCTCAAGGTCGTCCCAGAGCTACAGTGCTCTCGCTCTCTCCTCCAGGGACTCAACCTCCCCTAATCCAGACCTACTGTCTCCAGCACAGACCCTCCACCAGCACAGACCCTCCGCTCTGGGGAACCAGCTGGAACCAACCAGTGGCTACAGACAAATGTCCAGGCCTTCCAAAA